TTAATAAAATTTTAAAAAAAACATAAGTTGAATAAGTATAACTTATTCCCAACAGAATTATATTTTCGTAAATAATGATAATTTGAATGCAAAGATCTACCTCATCAAAATTCCATTGATTTTCTCCATTTTGGAATTTCTCTGGCAGTAACTGTCATTCCGGTCTCCTTACCAGATCCTAATTCCTGATGTAGTAGCTAACAAAGGCGGTCCACTCATTTGATCGAACAACCCCCAAGAGTACAAGAGCGGGTGCAGAAAGGGTTGTTTTCAACACGTAATCGTCTGCCGACCGTAAAAGCCCCATTTGGGGGACTACACGTCCACACCAAAGGTGTTCCGCTAATGCCCCGGAATCGAACGCGCCGAGCTGTGGTCAATTGCTTGAGTTCAGAAGCGCCTTTTCCTTGCTTTAGCTTCCATCTGGAACATGAGAAGGGTTACAATTGCATCAAGATAAGTAGTAAAGGGACTGGCGAGAAATATCTGTATGTTTCTCTGTTTTAATACAGAATTTACGCCGTATTGACTTTTATGTTATGTTCCATATAGGTTGGCTACCCTATGTAAACTAAGTTAAATAGATTTAAAATTCAGTAATCATAAGTAGTAAATGGACTGGCAAGAAATATATGTATGTTTCATTGTTTCAATACAGAATTTACGCCTTATTGACTTTAATGTAATATTCCATTTTAGTTGGCTACCCTATGTAAACTAAGTTAAATAGATACAAAATTCAGTTATGATAAGTAATAAAGGGACTGGCAAGAAAATTCTCTTTTTTAATACAGAATTTACTCCTTATTAACTTTTATGTAATGTAGCATATTGGTTTACTACCCTATCTAAACTAAGTTAAATAGATAAAAAATTCAGTAATCATAAGTAATAAAGGGACTGATCAGAAATATCTGTATGTTTCACTCTTTCAATATAGAATTTACGCCTTATTGACTTTTATGTAATGTTCCATTTTAGTTGGCTACCCTATGTAAACTAAGTTAAATAGATTGAAAATTCAGTAATCATAAGTAGTAAAGGGACAGACCAGAAATATCTATATTTTTCAATGTTTCAATACGGAATTTACTCCTTATTGACTATCATGTAATGTAGCAAATTGGTTTTCTACCTTATATGAATTAAGTTAAATAGATAAGAAATTCAGTAATCATAAGTAATAAAGGGACTGGCAAGAAAATTTTCTTTTTTAATGCAGAATTTACTCCTTATTGATTTTTATGTAATGTAGGATATTGGTTTGCTACCCTATCTAAACTAAGTTAAATAGATAGAAAGCTTTGTATTCAAAAATAGTAAAAGGATTGGGGAGAACTATTGACTTTAATGTAATGTTGCACATTTATTTTATCTCCCTATGAAACTAAGTTAAATGCATGGTATAAGTTGGGGCAAATTTTGAAGCTTAGGGTAAAGCCATTTAGAATTTCAAGATATAATAAAGCTATTTTGACTTTAATTAAGCTTCTGAATTAATATTGAAATTCAAAGTTTATGAATAAGTTTTTAATTTATGTTTTGATACAGAATTAATGCTTTATTGACAGTTGTATAATGTTGCTTATTGGTTTGCCATACCATGCATAAAGCTAAACTTGTAGAAAATTCTGGTAAACTAGTATACGTTAGGACAAATTTTAAAAACGCATTGTAAACCCATTTTTTAATTCCGTGATACAATGTATTTATTTTTAATTTAATTATGTTTCCGAATAAATTTTCATTTCCGCAAGTTTTACGGATAAATTATGACCTCCGCTCAGTTCATAAATAAATTTTAAGTTTCTTAAAGGTTATGAAACAGTTTTAGATTCCATTCAAGTTCCGAATTAATTTTAAATTTCATTAAGATTCTGACTCAATTTTTAGTTTTAATTATTGTAATTTCGAATATAATAAAGTTATTTTGAATTTAATTAAAGTTCTGAATCAATTTTAAATTTCGTGAAATTTATGAATACATTTAAAATTCTGCGAAGTTTATAAGCAAATTTTAAATTTCATGAACATTATAAAAAATGTAGATTTTTTTTGGAGGTTATGGAGTAGTTTTAAATTTAGTGAAGGTTCTGAATCATCTTTCAATTTCGCGAAAGTTCCGAATGAATTTTAATCATCATGAAAGCTAATTATCAATTTTAAGTGTAATGAATGTTCAGAATAATTGTTGAAGCTAAATCTTATTTAGTTAAATTTAAATCATTATAGCAGAGTTCTTAATCAGTCTTCATTTTCGTTAAGTTCATTAAATGGATTTGAATTTAATGAATGCTGTGAAAATGCTTTGAATTTTACGAAAGTTGAGCAGCAACTTTAAATGTCATAAAGGAAATGAAGCAGTTTTATGTTTCAAGTAGGGAAAGATGTAAATTGAATAGCATAGAAAAATTTGAACTGTTTCTATGGTTTACTGTGTAGCTATTTTTAATGTATAGAAGGATTGGTAAATAAGTGTCAAGTTTTTTACAGTTTAAGAGCAAAAAGCTAAAAACTGTAGTTCAAGTTCCAAGAACTCTTGTTGTATTTGAGCTCTCTGTATATGTGATTAAATAGTGATTAAATAGTTTTGCCACAGACTTCGAGGAGGTGCATAGTAAGCAAAACATGCTACAATGTAAAGTAAAGATGTCAATTATTTAAAGCAGCATCTTTTTTGGTAGTTTATTTAAATTTAAAACCTAGATATTAATAAACATCTTTAAAGTGTCAAATCTCTAGTGAGAAATATATGCACTCCACATAACATGAGGGAATTATTTGGTTCTAAGTTCAATGTTTAACACGAAATTTGAGTGCAAATCGAGTTTATGTACCATAACGAATTAAAATTTTGCTCTACTTTTTTTTGTCCCATTTTACACATTCATAGTATAAACAACTGTAAATGAATCAGTTTTCAGTATACTATCACAACAGTAGTTTTTTCGTCAGTCGATAGCGTAATTGTGAAAAAATCTAAAATATTTTTCAATTTCTCTGTAGTAAAGTTAGTAGATAGATAGATAATTCCTGATAATAAAAACCAAAACATACGATATTTGAACAATTAGTTTGGTATTTTTTCCGTTCATTTGATTACGGTTCACCGGAAATTCTGCTTTTCTAAATTATAGTTATAATTACCACACACGCAAAAATTACAAAACTGGAACAAAAATTTAACCGAAAAAATAGTTTCACTGCAATGCCATGAGGTATCATGATAAAATGAGTAAATTTTACAACATTTATCAAATTTTATCATATTTTATAAAACTATAACGTTAATTTTATCAAAATCCTTACCAAAGCGGGTTTTTTAGAAATTACCGAGTTACAGTAAAATTTACCATATTCTGGTAATTTTGACGATATTTTTTTCGCAGTCTAAGATTTGAGAGGCAAGATATTGTAATTCACTTAAAAAAATTATATTTTTAAAATTTTTAAGACAATTATTTTCTTTTATTTAAAAGTATTCAAGATAATATAAACCATATGCGTAAAATTAAAAAATGTTATAAATGTTAAAAAAGTTACCATTACACATTAATAAGTTCTAATTTAATCACGAATCATCTATTCTTAACTATATGCATTTTTCTTTCAATAAATCGATATAATAATCGTAATTATATAAATTCGAAATAATACTGATATTGTTCTTCAAAGATAATTTTAAAAACTATAAGGGCTTAAAAATATGTGTAAGGTACAACTAAGTGTATGTGTTCAGCTAAGTTTAAGTTATAACACATATTATACTATAATCCTTAATATAATCAGCAATAAATTAATTAGATGAAGATATCGCCAAAAAATTCATGATCGGTAAAAGAATATTCCCAACTGGCATCAAAACCATCCTCTCGGTTACTGGATTTTTTTTACCGCTGGCTCCTCATCGTTTGCCACTTAACATGGTGATCACGATCCAATTTCTTAAGAAGGTTCACCTAGCTACCTACGATAAAAGAAGGGGGGAAGGGGATTACTGGGAACAAGATTAGGGACAGAATTGGCCCATTACTAGGTCTGCTCTAATCCAATTTGGTCGGACTGTATACGGACGAAGTGACCTGTTGGGGTAAAAATAAAGAGAACTGGTCCCTTTCGATTAGAGAGAGCTATAGTTCTTTTTTTATACACGTTTTCGTGTTAAGGGAAAAAGTTCTAACTTTCAGTGTTGGTAAATGCGAAACATATAAGTTGTTTTCAAAGAAATAATTTATGGAAAAAAAAAATTTTTTTTTTGTATAAAAAAGCAGCAAGCGAAAGTATAAAGCTGTTCTTTTAAATTTAGGTAAAATGCAAACTAAGAAATGTAAGTTACAATTTAATTTCTTATCATATAAATTGACATTTTTAATTGACTTAAAATTTCAAACATGTAAAGATCAATTCGATTTTAAAATTCCGAATAGAAATTAAAATATACAGTCTACTATAGATTTTCGATAAATATATAAATAAAGATTAAAATATTAATAAACAAAGGAACATCGTTTTAGAAAAAAAGTATTAAAAATAAAATTCTTATTTTTTTGTTTTGGAACTGCGGGCATAATTTTTTCTATTCATTTTTTATAATTGTTTTTATCTGTCTGAAAGATTATTATGATAAGTTTTGACACAATGTCATTATTTTAAATTATTAAAAAATCGTTTGCGTAATAATTGGTTTATTTATTTTTTGAGCGACAATTTTTATCGTTTGCGTGATAGGAAAACGAGTTGATAGTTAATATTTTCTTATGCTATACATATACATATTTATTAAAAAATGTTTTTCCTCTTTTTACTACAGTTAATAATTAGTTACATACTTTTTTTAAAGTTTAATGCTGACAAAATTATTAGAAAACGAAATTTGGTAGGTAATATATTAAGCAATAATTTCTCTTAAATAAAAAAAAAATAGTTTGCTTGATATTAGATTTGATTATTGCTTGGCGTGAAACGTTCAATGAAATAGAAGCATTTTTCTTACTTTTCGATTTTAAATAAAATTTACAATTTGTTGTCAACATGGTTTTATTTTTATACACTTAACTTAATGTCACCAAGCTCGTAAAAAACTCGATTTGAATAGTTTTTTTCCTTCCTTTTCAAGAGCGTTTTTACCAAATGCCCCGAGGACTGATGCACGAAATGTGACCGTTTGTGGCACGCAGATATACTCTGGGCATTTCTGCATGCTGACTTGATACTCTGTCACCTTGGAGAAAAGCTCAATTATATGAAGAACTCCATCATAATTCATTTTTCTTCTTTCTTGGCTGAAATATATGTGACACGGTTTTTACTTTGCCTTGACAATAAGCATTAACATTCAGTTGGTGAAACATTACCGGAGGGCTACTGTTCCGGTTGCTTTACTGGAAATATAAATGATTCTCGGTTTCAGCTGCACTAGCATAACCTCCGAGATGGGTTTTGCGATTTGCAGCATCTGGAATTCAACGTTTTTTGAAGACGCATCTCAGGCATTTCTCATTCGAAAGAAGTTTCCATCAAACCTTGAAGAGAAAAATTTTAATATACTGCTTCGCAAAATGATCTTTAAAAAATTGATGGATATTTAACAAACTGATTAATTGATATTTAATATAAATGTGATATATATAACTAGCAAGAATTCTATTTGCAATTTATAAATTTTATTTTTTGACAATACTTCTGTTTTACTAATATATATAAGTTTGGTTACTGCTTTCTTTTATTTTATGCTCTTTTTCAACAAATTTTTTTTGCGATATCGACACATATAAGGAATAATTTTTATCTTAGGATAATTATTCTTTATTCAGAAATATCGCATTAAATTATACCAATAGATGTGTCTTGAAGAAGACTATTGGTTTTTTCCTATTTATAGTTTTCTCTTTATGTCATCNATATATGATATATTTGCAGCTACAAAAGTGCATGCTTAGTGTTATTCATGTGTCTGAGGATGTCCAACATACGTAATATATTGATTTTTAAATAATCAAATTAAAAGAAATTTATTTCAACAAGTTCTTCTCATTAAGTTGATCAATAATGTTTAAGTAATCAGTTATATCCTCGTGTTTGTTAATGTGCCAGTTTAGTTACCTGTCACATTCAATCAAAAAATACCAAGAAAAGTAACCTCTTCGGCCATTCCACTGAATTAGTTTCAGAACCCCGATGACGGGCCATAATCCGGCCGTTACTGACCATATCTCTTCGCATTTCTTTCTATTGACAGATTTTACTTCTTCTTGATGTGGTCATTCAAGGTGAGTCTCTCCAAATCGAGACGGACGGACAGGCTATATATCTCTTCCTCATGTGAGACTTTATTTAGTTCTTTCATACGACCCCCCCCCCTCTTGATGCCCCCCCTTTGCCTCTTGGGACCGATGAAAGGTGGGCGAGTCAATAAGTGAAAGTGCTTCGATTAGTTTTATTATTTTACTTATTTATTCGAGGGGTCTTGGATAGGAAAAGTTCGCAGTATGCAACATGTAGTTCTCTACGAACCTGAAGTAATGAGTTTTCTAATAGTGCTCAATTACAGGCATAGGAAATTAACCGATCATTACAAAAGTGCTTAGAATGCATTGTTTATTTATGTGTTTTTTTAAATGCCATTTGCAAAATTCGTGAAAAACAATATCGGGTTGCCACAGGCGACTAAAATGCAACTATTTTCAGCATGAGGCGACTATGGCAACTTTTTTTGCCTGAAAAGGCTAAAAAAGCAACTATTTTCAGGTAAAGGAGACTATTAGGAGACTTTTCTGTACTCCTAGCAATGTTTTTTAGCAGAAATTGGGTTGAAAACCTGCAGCCGTCGAAATCTTCTGAACACACAGAATTTCTTTTCTTAAAAAATAAAAAATGTAAAATAAAAATAATAAAATTTAAAAAAATTAAATAAATAAAACATTAAAAATTAAAAATTTTAGATTGCAAATTTGAGTCATCACTTTTAAATGCTTTCAAATTGCACAGATTCTATCGTAAGTCTATTTTGTTTCTTGATCGCCTTTTCAACAGTTTTTGCTACAAAATTCTGCACGATTTTAAAAAACCCAATTTTTAATGCGATATTACGATGCATGAATTTTGAATTTGAGTTATCACTTTTCATAATACAGTACACTCTCGATTATCCGTGTGCGGATTATCCGGTTTGCGGATTAACCGTGCTCATTCAGGAGTCACACAAAAAATATAAAGAGAAAAATTTTCAAGATTTAAAAAATTTTATTTGGTTTTTGGAAGCAATATTCGTTATTGGATTGCAGTATATGGAATATCAGCAACATGGTCAAAGGTAAAATCGTCTACGTTATCTATCTTGGAGAAAGATCATACCGCTTGATGAACAATCCTCTTCAGATGTTCAAGAAAAATATGATAACAGTATTCTCGAACAAGCAAAAGAAATCTAAGGTTTCAAAATTCTTGATGAAGAAAATTTAGAAGATTGGTTTCAAAGTGATGCATGTGAGCCTGGCTTCCAGTATTTGACTGATGAAGACATCGTTATGTTGTTAAATCAAATAGTGATGATAGTAACTGATGCAGAAGATGTA